GTTCGTGCTCTGCGTGAGATTTTTCCGACTCAGGATTGAGTTAGAAGTAGAAGGGAGCACTTATGGGTTACACTAGTGTGCCATGCTGCTGATCTGTGGAATAAACGTAAACTCGTCGATGGGCGATTGGTCAATATGATTATGAGTCTGGTCTGATATACGTGATGGAATACTGGCACGTAAAAGAACTTTTGCTGTTACTTACCTGAGAGTAAACATTTATTTTACTTGTTGCTGTTAAATCTGTCAATTGTTCGAGGAGAATACACAATACAAGACAGCTAACCACAGAAATGTCACTTACCGTTGGCAACAGAGGAGAGAGTTTCTGCTTCTCTAGAACGTTTCACGGCGACTGGGCTGCCCCAGTGGTGAGCCAAGGTTTTATATTTGTGGCGGTTCTTGCTCGCGGTGGCATTAGGAAGATGCTCCGCCTGCGAGGCTTCATTACATCGGCGTCGGCACCAAGGCTGTCGATTGAGTGGGGTGGGAGTGGAGTGAGGGTTATCAATTTTTTTTTAAAAAGAAACCACAACACGTTAAAACATCTTTAAACACACACACACACACACACATATAATATACATTTCGTCTGCTTACAACGAAGGGGGTTGTTGATATTAATTGTTAAAGAGTCGGCCTTTCTCAGCAGTCGCCTGTTTAATGTGTGATAAACCACACAGAGAGCCAAACTGACTATAAATTCCGTCTGCCTGCAAAGAAATTAAAAAAATCTGCGTAGTCTGCAGAATTGTTATTTATAATATACTTTTTCCTCTTCCCCCTACCCCCATTTCAGCCCCTCCTTCTCCTCCTCCTCTTCCTACTTCTCCTCCTTCTTCTTTTTCTTCTACTACTTTTTCTCATCCTCCTCCTCCCCATCCATCTTTTCCTTATTCTTCTTCTTTTTCTCCTTTTTCTTCTTCTTCTTCTTCTTCTTCTTCTTCTTCTTCTTCTTCTTCTTCTTCTTCTTCTTCTTCTTCTTCTTCTTCTTCTTCTTCTTCTTCTTCTTCTTCTTCTTCTTCTTCTTCTTCTTCTTCTTTTTTTTTCTGACTTTCATGGATTTGGAGACCCATACCGAACATAGCAGATGGTCACTTCCTTGATCTCCCAGGACCGTCCATTTGGTGTCCAGTACTGCTGACTGGGTAACCAAAGCCAGGTCAATAACCGTGTCTACATCGCCGGGCCTCATTGCCAGTTCCAGTCGGCCTCCCATCATTTAAAAAGACGAAGTCTGAATGTACCATAACGTCAGCAAGGGCAATTCCCTGTCTGTTTTTCCCAGTACTATTCCATTCATTGTTTCGTGCATTGAAATTCCCACAAATGAAGAGCATGTTGCCAATGATTCCCTTCGAGCCTTCAGGCACTCCCACTGTTGCTTTGTAACTAATGAGCCCACGGAAACATATACATTTATTATGTTCCAAAGTCTGCCCCCAGTTTCCATCTGTACTGCATACATCTCTACACAATCAAGATTCCAAAGACTCTGGTCAAGCACACCATGTTTCAATCAGAAGATTTTACCTGTTTAAGATTGTGCGATCTCGGCTTGGTCAAAGCAATAGGTAGCAGCTAGGAGAGGATAAACGGAAGGATAGAGTGGGATGTGGGAGCAGCACCACGCCATATTCTCAAGAGGACAATTTCCCACGAACAGAAAGTATTACTCCACCTAGACGTGTACAAAATACCGATCCGTGTAACGCCCGAGTATTATCGGGAAATAGGTTTCAACATGGCCCAAAACGGAAGATCTGGAGTGCACCGAAAAGAGTCTTGTGTTAAAACGACCATCAAGTTGGACGCATCCGGAAGAGTTTTATCTTCACCCAAGTGTGCTGGTTCGACCATACTTCTCGTTAATGGGGAATGGTTCAAAGAAGAATTATTTCCAGAATTATTTTGGGAAAACTTTTCAATCTGTCGTTTCAGTTTCAGCCGGTTGTTGATTAATTGTATGTTTTCTGTCGCAAAGTAGTTTGGAGACATAACCAGCTCGGTCCTTTGGTAGACAGATACTTCAGCGGACAGATAGATAGGTGGGCGTATAGACAGGCAAGTAGATAGACCGGCAGGTAGATAGATAGGCGGGTAAACAGACAGGCAGGTAGACAGGTGGGTAGAGGTGCACTTTGAAAGGAAGTGTACAGGTTGATCGGTAAGTAGGTAGACGGTTTCTGCAACTGTAGAGGACGTGCACAAACGAGTATACAGGAAAATAAGTCAGCTAGAGAATAAATGTGATTAGGATATTTTGACCAGAGTCTTTATGAATGTAAAAACAGTTGACTAATTAAAAATACAGCGTGAAACCTGAAATCAATACACATATCACGGTCATAAAATCCTGTTCCTGGGATCTAACCTACCACCTCTCCCCCAAAAATCCCCGCATCTATAGTTTTTTTTTTTTTTTTTGCTTTCATCCCTGCTAGATGAATGTTCAACATATCTTTATCAAAGTTTTATTTGTACCCCCCCCCCCCCCTCTCCATTTCCACCCACACCCACTCCCCGTCATATTTCCCTGCAACTTTTGGGAGAAGGGGGGGGGGGGGCTGAAATGTTACGTTGTTACGTTTGTGTAGCTCACTTATGTTTGAAAAAGGCAGCCCGGTCGAAACGTTACTTTGTGGTGTTTTGTGTCCGTTTTTCTGCTTCACCATTTTGTTGAGCTTTTCAGTCAAATTTCTCTGGAATTCCTTGTATTAGCTTGACTGCAGTCAGCCCCATATTTTCACCATTTTTGAATATCACAAGGAGATGACCGGATGTCATCACATATGTTAGTCCTTTCCTGGTACTAAAAAGGACTGACACATTACAAAAGTACCCCACAGGCCTTTTGTGTGCGTGGTCTCCCTTTACTGTTTTTCGCTCCTATCCCATTGTAGGGAAAACAAAGAACTGACTCACTGCCTCACCGACAAGCATGTCGTAAAAGTCGACTAACTGAAGGCAGGGCCCTTCGGTAGATTGTCTTAGTATGAGGCAAGTCTTTTGAAAGCCGCCCCTTAAATGTTTAAACTGTATTTTAATTTCGCTGCCTATACCACTCCCTTACTGTGCCGCTTGATGCGGCCGGATCTGTGTATCATAGCACAGAACTGCCCTGACTGGGCGCATCCTTCGAAGTCAAGAGTAAATCTTCCTGAGCTGCAAAGAATCACGAGTCTACAAAGAGATAAAACAGATCTGTAAAACGGATGCGCAGACAACACTCAGGCTCTGGAACAAGACTAAAGTCCGGAGGTGGACGAACGCCCAGAACGTTCCGTCGAAGTTTACAGCCGGTGAACGCGAATGCGGAGAAGAAGCTCCCAGTTATCCATCTGATAATAATAATACTGCCACCAGTTTGCCTGTAGTCCACGCCGTGTGGCTTCATCATGGCTGTTCATGCTTCTGTCTTAGTGTGATAAATTATGTTGACGTGTTTCACTAGTTTCTTTTATTATAAGATCTGTTTATTGTTCAGTGCTCTTCTTTAGCATATTAAATTGATCCCCGTGTTTCCGATTCCGTGTTTAAAAAAGCTTGATCAGGTTCAATCTGCCGTGTTTTGTTTTCTTCATATTGAAATAATGTAAAACAGTGTTTCCAAAACTTTTCTTGGTCGCGGCGTTGTTTTTTTTTTTTTTTTCAGTTATGCTTTTTCCACGGCGACCTAACCTAAGTAAAAAGGTATGACTATTCGTGTGTAAGAAAAAAAAAGACTCGTGTATCTTTAAATATTTGGCGGCGCCCCTGTGAAGAGGTCGTGGATCCCCGGGGCGTCGCGACGTACAGTTTTGAAATCACTGATGTAAAAGATACACTTTTTTAATTAAATGAATTCCAGAGAAATTTGACTAAAAAGCTCAACAAAATGGGAAAAAGGAAAACGTGCACAAAACAAAACAACGTAACGTTTCGGCCAGGCAGCCTTTTTCAAACACAAGTGGACTACAGCACTTCCTCTTGGGACTACTCAGTGCTCACGCAGCACCTGCAAAACATGTCCTTTCGTTGTCCAGACTTCTTCGGTCAGTTTCCCTAATGGTTCTTTTCAAATTAGGGAACCTTTTACTTGCGAATCCCGCAACGTAATTTATGCAATTATCTGCAAACGATGCAGCATGGCATACATTGGGGAGACTGGCAGGAAGCTAGCTGATCGTTTCCGGGAACACCTCTCTGATATCGACAAGAAGACACTCAAACCAATCCCTCTTCATTTTAATAGCCCTGACCACAGCGGTAAAGATGACATATCTGTCACAGCATTAAAATCTTGCTCTGGCGATCATACTACCCGCCTCGCTTTGGAAAATCGCCTTATCCACAGCCTTGGCGTTCTTAGTCCAAGAGGTATCAATATCCAACATACCTTCATCTAAATAGTTCTAATCTTATTACATTTTAAATGTTAATTATTTTATTTTATTTCATATTATTACCATATTCTATTTCTTATCAATATCATTTATGTATCATTAACACTTGCATTTCTTTTATTCCCAGTATTGTGACTATATTTTTTAGCCATCGTTTATTTTATTTTATTTCATTTATTCCGCATCACATTTTTTAAACGTCGCTCACGTCACCCCTTAGAGATCTACATACTCTCCATTCCTCTTTTGTGTAGTCCACTTGTGTTTGAAAAAGGCTGCCTGGCCGAAACGGGTGTAGTCCACTTGTGTTTGAAAAAGGCTGCCTGGCCGAAACGTTACGTTGTTTTGTTTTGTGCACGTTTTCCTTTTTCCCATTTTGTTGAGCTTTTTAGTCAAATTTCTCTGGAATTCATTGTATTAGCTTGACTGCAGTCACCCCCATAGTTTCACCACTTTTTTAATTACCAAGGGAAACTACTCTGTGCACTATTTCCATGGAAACGCAGAGCTTGGCATCGAGTCTATGGCGACGGAGTCTCCATCTCCAACCTGTGAGACTCTGACGCCGGGATGTGTGACTGTTTCCTTGGCTTTCGTTAGGTCTGATTATTTAAAATGACGTCCCTGCAGTTCTTCCCTGAGCCGTCAATCCGTGAAGTGCCTCCTGCCATTTGGGGAACCGGTCGCCCGGACCAGGAATGTTTATGGGTTCCCCGGGCTCCAACCTGGCATACCAGGTAAGTCTCGGGTTAAGGACTCTGTGATTAGCACCGTTGTCACAAAAATAAAATAGACAAAGTATACGTGTGATTATACAGTAGATTAATGTACTTTATGCAGCCATCTTATATTTTTAAGGAACTGTAACAAACTTTAATAAATACTTAAATACTAAAAGGTGTTAGGTATTCAGCTAAACATTTAAAATATCCAATGTGGCAAACTGCTGGCTGTTACAACATATCAGGTCACGGTCTGTTGACCATTTAACTCTGTAGCAACACACTGTTTACCAAGTCCGTGCCTGAAATTTCTATATGTATTTTTCGGTTATGTTGAATCCCTATATGGTTCATTGGTAACTTTACAGAACACATGGCAGGCATTTAATATAAGTAAGTTAATGGCATTTTTCATACCACTAGATTTTTTTGGCATATGCGCTAGACTCAAATTTGTATAGAACTGTTGGCATCAAAAGGTCAAATGGTTTGGTCCTCTTAATCAGAAAGCAGCCAGATCAACTACCAACCTAGGTGCTATGCCTAACAATATCTGACATGAAAGCAGTAGGCCACCCTTGAAGAATGTGGCTTGACAGTATTAAAGATCTTCTACATTGATATGAAATGACAGTAGACTTATTGCCCATCAAGCATTGAATCGGAAAGTGTTCCTTCCTGCGCCACTTAGCAACAGAAGTGGTAACTGACAACTGTAAAGAATCATCGTTAGGTAGAGCCAGGACATTACCTGTTATTTGTTTTAGGCTGGGTTAATGTGGAAGCCAAGGTCAATTCTGAAACATATCTATTTTAATGTGCACTTAAACACACAGGTAAGTTTCTAGCCATGGATCTCAGGTGTGTCGCCATTAAGAAAATATTGGCTGGGCTCACCCCCTTCCCCAAATCCTACTTCTTTGTGCAAGAAAAATGGGGGGTGGGAAGGGGGCCTAAGCTGTTAACCCCTTAAAAACACAACCTCTCCACCACATGAGCACACAGGGTGGGTGGGAGCTCAGACCCGTTAACCCCCTTCCATATATTGAGAAAATATTGAGGACCCTCCTCCCCCCCTTCCCCACTTTTTCCCACCTAATAATGTTGCTATGATATCCCCTTAAACTCCATCCATCATGTAGCAGGTCCTTTGCAGAACTTCGTTCTTATCACGGTCTGGCTGAAAGAAACTCAGTCTCTGGCCAGCTTTCCTGCCTCATGCACTTTCATACTCAAGGAGTCACTTATATCCTGTGCTTATCTTCGTGTTGGTCGGCCCCTGCCCCTCCTTCCTGGTACCATGCCTTCTGCTATAATTTTTATCAATCCATCATGGCGCTTGATATGACAAATATTTGAGTTTCCGAGACAGGATGCTGTTTATTAGCCAATCTTCCTCGATGTTCAGATCTTTCAAGATGTGAGTATTTCTCCTGTTCTTTGTCCAAAATATTCTGAGAATCTTTCTATAGCATTTCAGCTCAAAAGCCCCTATTCTCTTTCTTAAGGACTGGGAGATAGTCTACGACTCACATCTGTATGTTGCTACAGGGAAGATGCATGCTCTCAAAATTCTAATTTTGATCAACTTGCTGGTGCTTAACCATAGACCTTTTAGGCTGTTTAATCTTTGCATTGCTATGGCTATCCTCCTTTTAATTTCTGTCAAAAAGTCTCCATTGCTATTTATTATAGAGCCTAGATATTCAAACTTAACCCCTTAAACTGTGTACACTAATTATCTTTCACATAGTTTGTTTAATATTATTTCAAGTATGTTGTTATATTTATTTACCATTCAGCATAAAATAATGATTATTTTTATGATAATTATTGTGCCTGAAAGCAACTCTATATAATAACATACTTGAAATACTATTCATTGTTGTGTGTCTGTTAACTTTCTATTGTTTAAAGTTTCTAGGATTTTCCACCGTGTGTCCTTCCGTGTCCACTATGTCTCCTTCAGTGCCCACTATGTGACCTTCGTTGTCCTCTGTGTGTCCTTTATTGTCCTCTGTGTGTCCTTCGTTGTCCTCTGTGTGTCCTTCATTGTCCACTGTGTGTCCTTCATTGTCCACTGTGTGTCCTTCATTGTCCTCTATGTGCCCTTCATTGTCCACTGTGTGTCCTTCATTGTCCACTGTGTGTCCTTCATTGTCCACTGTGTGTCCTTCAGTTTCAACTGCGTGTCCTTCACTGTTCACTGACCTCATATTTCAGGGGCGTCCCCACAGAATGCCATTACAACACCACGGACCTCAAGTTGAGCAATGTCCGGGACAACGATGAGCTGTGAGTAGTACACAGATGTCAGTGCGTTTCTTTCATTGTATCTCAATATTTATACTGGTTCTATGTCAAAACATCCATGATTTGTGTGTGTCAGTGCATCTTTATACATATGTAAAAGGTAAAGGGGGTCTCCGTGGCGAAGTGGTCAGGCCGCTTGCTTCACTCTCTGAAGGTTATGGGTTTGTGTCATGGTGGCTCTGTTTAGTTCATGAATGCAATTTTTACGAAGATCCCTGGGGACCAGCTCAGGAGCTACAGAGGTCGTGCTCTGTGCGACCCTCTCAGCAGGCAGCTAGCTGTACTGCTGAACGAACGAACGAACGAACTTTATTTTCAAAGGGTCACAAATTTGGCACGCAGGCCCGTCTTACATTTGGCCCTTCCAGTCAACCATCTTTCACACAGCAATTGTATTTTACTAATAAAGCATGTTATGATCATATGATGATATGCATATTATGAATATTATAAAAGAACACAAAAGCATGAGTTGTAAAGTGCATGCAAAAACCCACGCGTGCATACACACGCTCACCCACTCACTTACACACACATACATGCATACATTGCATACATACACACATACATGCATACATACATACACACATACATACAAACAAACATGCATACACACAGGCATGCTGAGAGAGACTGAGCCATATCAGATCAATTCCAGTGCAATGAAGTTTATCATCTCACCTTTACCTTCATACATATGTAATTGCATTTGGTCCACAGTTGTACATGTGTGTGTGTATGTGTGTGTGTATGCAGGTTTTTGTGTCAGGGACAGTGATGGCTTCTGGATAGTACATGCATGTGTGTGTGTGTGTGTCAGTGTATCTGTATGCAAATGTATGTGTGTTGCTTCCATGTTAATGCAGTGGCTAGAATGTTTTTATGGTAGCACAGTTGATCTGAGTTTAAATCTCCTCACGGTTGGAGTTTGTTTCATTGACTTCACCCTTTCATCCCAAGATGAATTTAAAAAAAAAAAATAAGGTCATGACCTCGAAAAAATTGCAGAAAAAATCTACGAAAACAACAATTTTGACACAAGTAACTAATAAATTAATTTAAAAAGTATTTATCTACATTTTAAAACTATTATTTAAAATATATAAAGATATATGAAAGAAGTCATCAGTAAACTTGAACAGGGTGAAACATTAAATGGAATACATCTCCTTAAGCCTACAAATAAAAAATAAAAACCCACCAATGTAACAAGGGATTCATGCGTTGACCCCTTGATCTCTATCACTGAGACTTTCGGGAAAATCTTTTGGTTTTATTAGAATGAAACCTCCTACTTTTAGTTTATGTATTCATATCCTGATCTCTGACACCATTGTGGATGTACAAACTCAGCCAATAGCGTTATCTGTATGCCTTTTTAACCAGTCCAGTCACATTAGATAGGTTACAAAAGTGACATTTACAGAGAACTGGAGCCAAACAAAAGTGTTGCTTTTCTAATTTCTTTGCGAGAGAGTTCAGCTCTTAGAAAGTATATCTTGAATATCATTTATATCATAAATATCATTCTAAGGGCAAACTGTCACATTTGTTGCTCTTTAGTGAATTATATGACCGGTGTGTTTAGAAGATTAGGGGATAAATGCTAGTAGTGCAGTTATGTCCACAACTGAAATTAAAAAGGATTAATTAATAATAATATTATTATTTGTTCCGACATTTTACAGAGTACCCAGGCCTCCAGCAGTGGAAATTACGTAAGTAATTAAGTTAGTTAAACATGAAATAAAAGCATTTATTTTAGCCTGCTTGAAATTAAACAAATATAGATGTATAGAAGTAAGAATATGATGTGAATATCACCTGCTGATACGCTATTGGGGATTGTTAGATGTGGAGAAACATGACTGCCAATTCCTGTCAGTTAGGTACTTGATGGTGGTCAAAATGTGGAGAAACGTTGCCAATACCTGTCAGTTAGGTACTTGATGATGGTCAAAATGTGGAGAAACATTGCCAATACCTGTCAGTTAGGTACTTTATGATGGTCAAAATGTGGAGAAACATTGCCAATACCTGTCAGTTAGGTACTTTATGATGATCAATATGTGGAGAAACATGACTGCCAACTACTGTCAGTTAGGTACTTTATGATGGTCAAAATGTGGAGAAACATTGCCAATACCTGTCAGTTAGGTACTTTATGATGATCAATATGTGGAGAAACATGACTGCCAACTACTGTCAGTTAGGTACTTTATGATGGTCAATATGTGGAGAAACATGACTGCCAACTACTGTCAGTTATGTACTTTATGATGGTCAATATGTGGAGAAACATGACCGCAAATTACTGTCAGCTACTACTTAATGGTTAACAATATGTGGAGAAACATGACAGCCAATTACTGTCAGTTATATACTTTATGGTGGACAATATGTGGAGCCCTAACAATCCACAATCCAACAGCAGATACTGCCACACATTTACCTTTATCCATCTTCATAAGGTACCCTCTATTGAATGTTTCAAAAAACACACAGGTCTATAACCAGTAAGAACAACAAATGCAACAAAAGACATCTATATTATCCACCTGTTCTTCATTTAAAGTTTATAGGTTGGCTTTCCTCGTGAAAATCTCTGCATATCATGTTTTTATTTGTTGTAGTTATTAAGTTAGTGTATATTCATCCGGTGGACGACAGATGGGAAAAAAACTCAGCAGACATGGATGACATAAAGAAACCTGAAAAAATTGGTAGAATGGGAAGTCGCAGCAGCATTTTTTTATTCATTAAAGAGATCAATGAGTATCATAACTGGAGCTATGGATTTCATGCCGCCTGTGATGATTTAGGTGAGCAGGTAGCAATTAAACAGAAGGAGACTATTTACTAATTTAAGGGTCAGCAGCATAGTACACTGGAGATACCCATAGATGCTCTATCTCCTGCAGCCAGTCTCTTAGAGTGTAGATGGCCAGCTTCCAGTGGAGACAAACACATATAGGATAACACTCTGTTCAGTGAAGTCAGTCCTCTTAACTTTAACTTTAACAAAAGTCTTCCTAACTTGAACGAAAGTCTTCTTAACTTTAATTTTGCCCTGCTCTCTAGTAGTTGGCTAAACCAGACTGCGCGGTGACCAGGTGACGAACTCCTTGTGGTCCGGGTTCACTCCCGGGGGTAGGCAGAAAAGCCACATTTCTCCAAGATTTACAGTATTTACAATGGAATCAAGGCCAAAAGGTTGTGATATCCATAATACAGAGCCTAAGGGTTAACAACTCATGGCTTCTGGATACTAAAACAAACAAACTTTAACTTTAACGAAAGTCTTCTTAACTTTAACTTCAATGAAAATTTTCTTAACTTTAACTTAAACAGATGTAACAGGAGTTTTTTCCTGTTGAAAACCTAGTTTTTTTCTCTTTGTTCTTGCACTTTGCAGAAATAAGTGTATCAATAGACCATTCCCTGCAGAACATCCATATGCATCCCATATAGCCAAATTTGCTACAATCCCCAAATTTGATTCCCCTCAAGACCCTAAGAGAGGTGTGGCCGCAAGGCAGCAGAGACCAATCAGCAATGAGATGCCAGCTAATCCTCATCAGGTCACCGTGGTAAAAAAGGTTAAAGGTCAGTTGGTGTTTAAATAATTTATTCACTTATCAAAAGGTTAATTGCATTTACCAGAATGTAATTAAAAAATTTTTTTACCTTGTGATTGATTGGATACTAAAGACCATGATAGACAAGACATCGAGAGGCATACGATGGACTCCATTCACCATGCTTGAGGACCTTGATTTTGCAGATGATATAGCACTCCTATCACATAATCATGAACATATACAAGACAAAAGTAACAGACTACACAGCACAGCAGAAATGATGGGACTGAGAATAAATACACAAGGAAAATTAAGATCATGACAAGCAGTGCAAACCAACAACCAGTGACCATAAATAACCGAACTCTTGAAAATGTAGAACAGTTCACATATCTTGGCAGTGCGGTGTCCCTAATGGGAGGGATAGATAAAGACACACTTATACTTAGACAAAGCTAGAGCTGTTTTTGGAAAGATAAGGCAAATTTGGAAATGTGACAGTTAGTGCAGAGGCACATAACCAACTCTACAAAAGCGCCATCTTGCCAGTTCTTCTTTATGGAGCAGAATGCTGGAGAATGGCCAGAAAGGATAAGCACAAGCTATCCACCTTCTATGTAGAATTATCAAAATGTTCTGGCCAGAAACAATCTGAAACACTAAACTACTTCAAGTCACAAACCAAGAAACTCTAGACAGTATGACAACAATGGGAACATGGAAATGGCTTGGCCATGTCGTAAGAATGAATCTTGATATACCCGCCAAAAGAGCTCTCACATGGATACCAGAGGGAATGAGAAGAAGGGGCACCCAAAAACAACATGGAGACGAACGATGGAAGTGAAGTGAGTGCGGCATCTCTGACATGGAAAACTGCACTGAAGATTGCACAGGACAGGAAACTTGAAAGTCCTCTCTGAAGCCTCATGTGCCACTAGGCATAAAGAGAACTGATAATGATGCTGAATTTATCAAATGAAATATTTTGACAATATTTTACAGTAATATGTTTAAAACACCACTAACCACCGGCATCATTAGGGCTAATAGACAGCAGTGGGTAGGGCACATAGAGATAATGACATATAACAGACAGAAATTGCATGCACAAAAGAGTAGACCATGAGGCAGACCAAGAAGTTTGTGAAGAGTTGATACACAGGCAGACCCACAAACACTTAAAGTCACCACCTGGAAAGAGAAGGCAAATCACAGAGATGAATGGAGACTTGTGATATCTGCAGCAGTCAAGCTCAAGGGCATGGAATGCTGGAGAAGAAGAAGAAACTATTGCATAACAAGACTGTATTTTTTTTGATGTTGTTATTTGATCACAGTTTATATTTCCTATCATCGACATTTTTTCTTTGTCTTGTGCCACCTCATGTTATCTTTTCCATATCTCATCCACCATTCCCTATTTTCTTCAAGGTAATCCATACAGAGAAGAGGTCATCAAGATTCCCCCCGAGGGTCAAAGGCCACCACTTTACTGGCCAGGAGAGCAGTACTTTGATCAAGTATGTCGGTAAAATTTTCAATCACCCACTCAACATTTCTATTTAATTTTCTCATCTGCAGTTGTTCTGAGATTTTGTCAATTAAAGATGTTTTGAATTTTTCTCATCTCAAGTTATTACAAGATTTTGTCATCTAAAATTATGAGATTATTTCATTTAAAGTTGTTCTGAGATTTTGTCAATTAAAGATGTTTTGAATTTTTCTCATCTCAAGTTATTACAAGATTTTGTCATCTAAAATTATGAGATTATTTCATTTAAAGTTGTTCTGAGATTTTGTCAATTAAAGATGTTTTGAATTTTTCTCATCTCAAGTTATTACAAGATTTTGTCATCTAAAATTATGAGATTATTTCATTTAAAGTTGTTCTGAGATTTCTCATCTCTAAGTTGTTCTGAGATTTTATCATGTAGATTCTATCATGTAAAGCTGTTCTGAGATTTTCCTTATCCATAGTTGTTCTGAGATTTTATAATCTAAAGCTGTTCTGAGATTTTCCTTATCCATAGTTGTTCTGAGATTTTATAATCTAAAGCTGTTCTGAGATTTCTTATATAACATTGTTAAGAGATTTTCTCATCCGCATTGTTGTTAGATTTTCTCTTCTAAAGTTGTTGCGGGACTGACCACTTCATCCAGTACAAAGTGAACCTTAGCTACACACAAAATCCAACTAATCATTAGCAAAGGACTTGGTTTGAGCTGGTTGTGAACCTGTGTCCAAGTGAAAGATGAAAGACAACAGCAGAAGTGGAATTCTCAGAAAAAATACATTTCTTAAGGGAGTTATTCTGATCTTGTAGGAGTTAATGTCTGATCTTGAAGAAGTTTATAAAGGATCTTGAGGTAGTTAGCCTGATCATGAGGGAGTTAATATGTGATCCTGAGGGAGTTGGTCTCATCTTGGGGAAGTTGTAATCTGTACCTGGTGAAGTTAAAATGGGATCTTGGTAAAGTTAAAATCTGATCTTTAAGGAGTTACTATGGGATTTTGATAATGTTTAAGTCTGATCTTGATGGTGTAGAATGGGATCTTGATAAAGTTAAAACTGGATTTTGAGGAAGTTAAAATGAGATCTTAATAAAGTTAAAATCTGATCTTGAAGAAGTTAAAATGGGATCTTGATAAAGTTAAAATCTGATCTTGAAGGGGTTAAAATGGGATCTTGATAAAGTTAAAATCTGATCTTGAGGGAGTTCAAATCTGATCTTCAGAAAGTTAAAGTCCATGGAAAAAGTAGTCCAGGCCGTGCACCTGCTCAAGAAAATAGAAAATTCATAATCATCAACATTTGCTTCAGACTAGATACCTGAAGAATAATCCAGTCTATCTGATGCAAATAATAATATGTTTCAGTGAATCCCTACACAATCTAATACTGTTAGTTCCTAATCCACTGCTCTGATGTATGTTTTATTCACAGCAGTCAAAAATCCACGGCAACAGACAACAGTATTATCCAGCTCCCCCAAAGAAAATCACACCAAACCTGCAGAGCCGCCCTGAGGAGCTTTCAGTTTCTGAGAGAACCCAGAATGTTCTGAGGAACATTGAGCGGAGCCATTGGATACCCACCTACCAGCTGGATTACACCGGACTAGGTCCAGCAAACCCACTGGCGCTGGATAATTTGGACTGCAAGAAAGAAGCTTTCATAAACACGGGTGTGTGGGATGATAAACTGGTAAGACAAGGGTGTGTTGGATGATAAATATAAGACATGTGTAGGATGATACATTGCTAAGACATGAGTTTGTTGGATGATAAACTGATAAGACATGTGTAGGATGATGAATTGGTAAGACATGAATGTGTTGGATGATAAACTGATAAGACATGTGTAGAAAGATAAACTGGTAAGACATGAATGTGTTGGATGATAAACTGATAAGACATGTGTAGGATGATAAACTAGTAAGACATGAGTGTGTTGGATGATAAACTGATAAGACATGTGTAGGATGATGAATTGGTAAGACATGAATGTGTTGGATGATAAACTTATAAGACATGTGTAGAAAGATAAACTGGTAAGTCATGAATGTGTTGGATGATAAACTGATAAGACATGTGTAGGATGATAAACTAGTAAGACATGAGTGTGTTGGATGATAAACTGATAAGACATGTGTAGGATGATAAACTAGTAAGACATGAGTGTATGGGATGATACATTGGTAAGTCATAGGTTTGTGGGATGATAAATTGGTAAGTCATAGGTGTGTGGGATGATAAATTGGTAAGTCATAGGTTTGTGGGATGATAAATTGGTAAGTCATAGGTGTGGGGATGATAGATTGGTAAGTAATAGGTGTGTGGGATGATAAAATGGTAAGTAATAGGTTTGTGGGATGATAAATTGGTAAGTCATAGGTGTGGGGGATGATAAATTGGTAAGTAATAGGTTTGTGGGATGATAAATTGGTAAGTAATAGGTTTGTGGGATGATAAATTGGTAAGTCATAGGTGTGGGGATGATAAATTGGTAAGTAATAGGTTTGTAGGATGATAAATTGGTAAGTCATAGGTTTGTGGGATGATAAATTGGTAAGTTTGTAATAAACAGGAAAAGGGATTGATCATCATCATCTAGTGCGTTCTTTAAAAAAACATTAAAAAAAAATGATAACCCAACAGAGGAGCAGCTGGCCGAGTAGTTAAAACATCAGGCTCTCATGCGGGAGACCCAGGTTTCACCCCTGGAAAAGTTATGGGATTTTTCTACACAGGCAAAAATTAAACTTTCTAACCTGCACAGTCTGTGGTGACAGCACTAGCCAAGCTGCCCTTAAGCCTGTGGCCTATGACCTTCCTGTCCACACCACCATAAAAAAGTGAAAATACATGCACTAATGACAGCTTTAGTCTCTTTAACCAACCAGAGAGACAATGGATCATTTTTAACCAGTTATCTTTCTCTTGCCTCACCTATTTTCTGCCTAGAGTGTCTTTAATATCCTGTGTCCACTTTTATGTTGGTTGACCCCCCTTTTCAGAAAACACTGCTTTCTAATATTGTTAATCCTAAACCACTTTTTAAAATTATTCAGTTTCTGATACATTATACTTGCTATTCATAATTTTCTTTTTTAATGTCCGGATCTCGTACAAGTAAATGATAAATTAGTTAATAAACCAGTAAATTATTTACTTCATCAAACAGCACATGCATGCAAGCTTAACTCTTTCAGGACGGCATTTTTTCTGGGGTTTGGACAGCATTAATTTTGAGCGAATTTTGTTTAGTGCAACACGACAAAGCTAAAACCTTCCTGAAGAAAAAGTATTGGCTGTATCGGGACTTATGATATATCAAATTAAATATAAATGAGTGCAGAATAAATCTAAACTACTTAAATGTCAGTATAACAACAAAATATTAATAAAATCACACAACATTCAAGGATTTGAAAATTTTTGACACAAAAAATTGTGTAATTACTTTTTTTTTTTACTGGTTCAACAACACTGCTATCCAATTCTAAGAAAACATGTGCCTTCTCTGTTCAATTATGTATTAGCTAATCTTTATTTGAAACAATTAATCTAAATACTTTGGATATTATAATCATTTTTGTATGACATGTCAATTTTCACAACCAAAAATCGGAAAAACAGCTGATCGAAACATTGATATGATTGAAATATTTTTTTTGAAATTTTCATATCCTAAACTAAATTATCGCTAGTAGACTTGTCACTTAGATATCAGTCATAATATCAAGACCGTTGTCACCATTTGGCACAGATTCATCAATGATAGAGCAGTATGAACAGTTCAAGACCTTTTTCCTTATCATTTAGTATAGAGCAATCACGTAAAAAATTGTATCCCATCTAAATAATTTTTTAAAATCACAAAATAAATACCGACCACAATGAACATTGCAAATGAAAGTACATCCTGTTGCTAATCCTAATTGTTAAAAAATGTGTTCACAAAAGTTTGTTTTCCCTACAAACAGAACAAAATTATAGTGTCTCTATCATGAGCCAATAAACTGGCTTTACGTCTTTAAGTGATAGACTTAATTGCCAGTATACTGGCTAAACGTCCGTAAAGAGTTAAATATTTTTTGACTTTTGTGAAGTCTGCTTCGGTAATATTTGCAAATTTTATTAATGCAACCACAGCAACATACAAGTAATAAGTCAGGATTTCCTATTTATATATTATTAGAAGATCCATAAAAAATAATAAGAAGAAGAACAACAACAATAACACAGTGGAAGAAGAAGAAGGAAGAGGAGAAAAATTACAAGAAGCAGCATCAGCAGATAAGAAGTAAGTAAACAAAAAATATATCATTTTCATTGAATTAATCATGAACTATTGACAAAAAAGATATTTTAATTTCAGTATCCTCGCTCTGTCAACACCTTTGACCCCTCACAACCTTTAGAAGGTCGCCTTCGGAATCTGTTTGCTCCAAAGCCTGCCCAGCAGATAATGATAGAGCGTCAGATGATTGGTGATTCAGATGAAAGCAGGTGAGGACCTGCAAGTGTTGGCTGTATCAGTTACAGGAGTTCATCTTCTGTGCTTATTACTTGTCACTGAATGTGTCAGCATCTACATCTACATTTATATCTTTATCTATATTCATACATTCATCTATGTCAATATTTACATTTATTTCATCTTCATCTGGTTCTAGATAAAACTTTAAATCTACATCTTTGTTCTCATTTACATATAACCATTTATTTTTTCCCACTTACATTTATCACTATATCTACATTTCTTCAGTATTTACATATTTGTCTACATTTAAATGTATGTCTACATTTACATCTACATTAATATCTTAATCTACACCCATATTTACATCTATATTATCCCTATATGTACATTTTGCCTGCATTTAATTGTATACCTTTACTTAACTACACTGCTGTACGCATGTGAAACATGGACTTATACCAGCGCCAGGCCAGAAAGTAAAAACTACTTTCACACAGTCTGCCTTAGAAAACAATGCAGATGAGATGGCAAGACAAAGTACCTGATGCCGTAGTCCTTGAGAAAGCAGCCATGCCCAGCATCCACACTCTACTGATGCCGTAGTCCTTGAGAAAGCAGCCATGCCCAGCATCCACACTCTACTGATGCAGTATCAAATTCGTTGGGCTGGTCATGTAGCATGCACTTCAGATCACAGGCTCCCCCCAAAAAAAACAACTTCTATGGTGAGCTGTAAAATGGGAAACGTTCCCAAGGTTGGCAAGAGAAACGTTTTAAGGACACCTTGAAGTCCTCACTCTAAGCATTTGGGATGAATGACACCAATTGGGAGGCTGCCTCTCAAGACCGAAATGCATGGCGTGCAGCTCTACACAAGGGCACAGCTACATGTGAAGCAAACAGAACAGCAAGGATGGACAGAAAGGCGTCTGCAGGAGATCTTCTCCGTGGCTCAATGCTCACTCCCTGTCCTCACTGTCCAAGAACTTTTCGGGCCCACATTGGCCTCATCAGTCATCTTTGTGCTCATACTTGATGAAAAAGAATGGTCATCATCATCTTGATGGACAACACACACACATCTATACCTATGCTTGCATCTAAAATTACATCTGTGTTTACATCTTTATTTACATCTACAGCTTTGTCTTTACCTATGCTTACATCAATATCTATATCTATATCTATGTTTACATCTATATCTACATCAATATCTACATCTACATCTGTATGTATTCTTACATTTATGTCCACATCTATACCCAAATTTACATCTATATCCACATATGTATGTACATTTACATGTATATATACATCTATATCCCCATGGCATTAGACCATATCCTCAGGGTTTGGTCAAGTTTTAAATTGCCATGGCTAGTGAGTGCCCTACTCTGTAGTACTTCTGTAGAGGGCACCTTAGAGGTGTCCGCCTATCCCGGTGGATACTCGGTCCCCATTGCTGTCCACTTATCCCGGTGGATACTCGGTCCCCATTGCTGTCCGCTTATCCCGGTGGATACTCGGTCCCCATTGCTGTCCACTTATCCTGGTGGATACTCGGTCCCCATTGCTGTCCACTTATCCTGGTGGATTCTCGATCCCCATTGCTGTCCACTTATCCCGGTGGATACTCGGTCCCCATTGCTGTCCACTTATCCCGGTGGATACTCGGTCCCCATTGCTGTAAACTTATCCCGGTGGATACTCGGTCCCCATTGCTGTCCACTTATCCCGGTGGATACTCGGTCCCCATTGCTGTCCACTTATCCCGGTGGATACTCGGTCCCCATTGCTGTCCACTTATCCCGGTGGATACTCGGTCCCCATTGCTGTCCGCTTATCCCGGTGGATACTCGGTCCCCATTGCTGTCCACTTATCCCGGTGGATACTCGGTCCCCATTGCTGTGTTAGCCACACTACAGTGTGTTAACCCTTCTCTACCACATGGAGGAGCAACTGGGGTTTTCCTTCACTGAGTCTTGAGACCAGAATGGCATGATTCTCATAGATCTCTGCATCTACATTTATATCTACATTTTCAAACCAGAATCCATCAGCCTGGACTGTCAACAGAAGGTATCCACCTTAGTCTTGAAGCTGTAGCTCTCTAACCTAAGAATCAGTTTCAGTAGAAAAGAGAAAGTAACTGACATGTATTGGTTCTTTTTCTTCTTCTTTGCGTTTACCAGCTGTACACTCTGGTGGAAAGTTCTGGTGGTTCGTCTATTTCTGGACTGCAGCTCTGCCCCCGAATCTGAGTGTTGCGTGTGCATCAGTTTTACAGATATGATTCACTTGAATGCAGACTGTTGTTTCCTTGCCTCTCAGGCAGATGCACTCCAACTTCAAAGGAAGCTCCTAATTGATCAACTCTTACGTCATGCTTTTGAAAGAAGTAGTAAAAAAGTAAAGTGGTAAAGGACCGGTTTCCACACCTCTAGGCATATTGGGCATATAGGGCTAGACCTATAAATTAAATACAAATCTGCACTTGGTGGGTGATGTGATCAGCATTATGCTGGCCACCTTTACTTCCCAGGACTGCAACAAGTACCCACTCAAGGCTGGGTCGAGCCCAGGTCCTTTTGAAAACAGTCTGGCTCCATCAGGATCCGAACCCAGGACCTTCTGATCCACAAGTAAGCATCTAGCCGCTATGACATGGTGACTCTCAGAAAGTAGTAGAGAGGTCAAGAAAAAAGCAGCATGTCAGAATAAGTCATGCTTAATACGATTTTTTTTTTCATGACACTGCAATATTTCATGTCATTGTTATATTATGGAACATTTGTTACTGCCATTGTCTGTGCTGCAGTAATATTTGTAACCGTAATTGTATGGTGAGTTAAAATAATATTATAGATTTTTATTATTAGGAAAATGAATTTAACAGAACAGGAGGAGCAGAGACTGCAGGCTGGGTGGGAATATGCCAACCTTCCGGAGAGTTGTAACGACCCACTTAGGAACCAGAAGTATCAGGAGAGGGATCCTTATCAAAAGGTGTCTTATGATAATAAGGTAGGTGAGAAACTGTTTTTTGCTTAATGATTGGTTAGAAACTGAGTGGTCTGGCCACAGTTATATTATTTTGATTGGCTAGAAACCAGAGTTTTAAACTTATAAGACAAGATTTGCAACCAGTTTGAAATAACAACAAAATGGCTTTGAGTACATTCACAAATATTGGATTTTCTAAGACAAATGTCTGCCAAGCTATGCAAATTGTGTTTGTTTATTTATTTATTTTTTAACCTGTTCATTATTCAGACAATAGCCTAGCATTTACAAATTGTATTTGTTTTTTTATATTTTTTCACATGCAACCAGGCACAAAATACTGGCAGACGTACACCTCAAGGTCATCCTGATAGTGGAAAGGACAAAGGTTATCTAGAAGAGAGGAGAGTGGAGCGGTGCAAAACTGTACAAGGAATAGAAGCTCAGAACCGATGGAAGCTTTTGGAATCATCCACTCCAGCCCATGACATTGTTCAGCTGAGGGTAAGCATCATATACCTCTTGTGGGCTATTTCATTGGTCCATTTTGTTATTGTCTCCTTCAGTTGGAAATTATAAACTTCATTGCCTATTGTATATTATTACTGGGAAGCAAACAGCCATAATTTAAGCAGTGTGGACACAAACAGTATACTGCATCCAGATGCACTTACAATGATCAGACAAACATGGTGTGTCAAGAGTGACCATTTGTATTTCAGTGCAACGTTATTCAGTTTGCTGTTAATCTCATCATCCTCTTGTGGGGTGCACTTTTAGTTATTTTGAAGCCCCACCCTGGCTATTGCCAGGAGCCCTAAATATAGCCAGGCCAGAAATATGGCCTAACGGCTGAACAGGGTTTCCAGGACCTCTCCATGGGTGATCCTCATCCGCATGGTGGCACTTTGTGTCACTGGGTGTTTATTGCTTGTGTGATGTCCTGGTGGGGTACAACTTACATACATACAGTTTGTTGTTGTGATGCTTCATTATGTAACACAAAGTAACGCACCTAAAGAGATACAGTGAAATATAGCTGGCAGTAAATTGTGAAATATAATGTTGAAACAGCCATAATTAATGTTTTTTTTATCTTCCTCTCCGTTTTCTTTTTTGTTGTTCGTGTTTTCCTATAACTCTTGCTCTTCACAGTTGACAGTTAATGCTGCTGCTAAACACTGCAGAGTTGAGCTCAGCTGAGTGAGCAACCCCCAGTATAGAAGTCAGCAACTCCCAGCATAGAAGTCAGCAACCCCCAGTATAGAAGTCAGCAACCCCCAGTATAGAAGTCAGCAACCCCCCAGTATAGAAGTCAGCAACCACCAGTATAGAAGTCATCAACCCCCAGTATAGAAGTCAACAACCCCCAGTATAGAAGTCAGCAACCCCCAGTATAGAAGTCAGCAACCCCCAGTATAGAAGTCAGCAACCCCCAGTATAGAAGTCAGCAACCCCCAGTAAAGAAGTCAGCAACCCCCAGTAAAGAAGTCAGCAACCCCCAGTATAGAAGTCAGCAACCCCCAGTATAGAAGTCAGCAACCCCCAGTAAAGAAGTCAGCAACCCCCAGTATAGAAGTCAGCAACCCCCAGTAAAGAAGTCAGCAACCCCCAGTATAGAAGTCAGCAACCCCCAGTATAGAAGTCAGCAACCCCCAGTATAGAAGTCAGCAACCCCCAGTATAGAAGTCAGCAACCCCCAGTAAAGAAGTCAGCAACCCCCAGTATAGAAGTCAGCAACCCCCAGTAAAGAAGTCAGCAACCCCCAGTATAGAAGTCAGCAACCCCCAGTATAGAAGTCAACAACCCCCAGTATAGAAGTCAGCAACCCCCAGTATAGAAGTCAGCAACCCCCAGTAAAGAAGTCAGCAACCCCCAGTATAGAAGTCAGCAACCCCCAGTATAGAAGTCAGCAACCCCCAGTATAGAAGTCAGCAACCCCCAGTATAGAAGTCAGCAACCCCCAGTATAGAAGTCAGCAACCCCCAGTATAGAAGTCAGCAACCCCCAGTATAGAAGTCAGCAACCCCCAGTATAGAAGTCAGCAACCCCCAGTATAGAAGTCAGCAACCCCCAGTATAGAAGTCAGCAACCCCCAGTATAGAAGTCAGCATATTTTGATAAGATATTTTTATGCAACTTCAGCAGCTAATGCACATTTCCAATTTGGATAATACCAGCAGTAATCTGACCAGACAGGAAGATTCAAGCTTCTGAACATAAATGTCAAAGACAAATCTGATGAATTAGCTATTCCAAACATAAAACTAACAAATATGCAAGAGACAACATAAATTTGCAGGCCTCTTTTGGCAATGGTGAACCTTGCAAGCTAGTTTGGTTTGGGCAAATATGGAGATATGATTCAACTGCAATGACTATATGAGGAGCATTGGGGTTAGTCAAAGGGGAGGGGGGGGGGGGGGCAAAGAAAAATCTGGAATGACAACATCAAGACATGGATAGGATTAAATTATTATACACTTGTTCAACAAGCAGAAGACAGAGAAAGATGGCAGGTTTTGTGTTGCTAGTGCTTCTGTTGATACTTCTTCATGACTCTAGCGGGTCAAGGGTTATGTGTGCGTGTCCATCTTGCCTTTTCTATGAGTGTTCAGTGTAGTGCCCTGGTCCTTTCTTGCTGTCCCCTTCTCTGCTAGCTGATTATCTATTTGTACTTTTACATGGTTCACCCGCTCCCAAAAGGCCCTTGACCACATCCACTTCTAGATTGCCATGCATCAATTCACCAGCATGAGTAGCAAAACCAGCCAATCTGTCTGTCACTTTATTTCCAAACACACCTGAATACCCAGGAACATATATCTAAACACTTCAGATCCCTGTATATTCGTACATAATATATTCATCTTCTTCTTCTGCATTTATCTGAAGACGTAAGTATGTTGTGTCCATTTACAACATGGCTGCCATATTTGTGCCTCTCAGTCAACACATCCAGCTTTTGCAGGAACTTTTTGCTTGGGGTAGCCTTCGTGGATAAAATTTATTCAAAACTGTAGGGCTAGAAAATTGAATTGAAGGATTCTTTGTTTTGTCACGTTCCTAACAAAACCATTGGCTTATTTTTGTAAATGAACTCTGCTCCAAACATATAATTCCACAGCAAAAGTACAAAATCTTAAACAAAAATGAGATGCCAATGACATTCTATCAACACGAAGGAGAGTACAATGAAGAGAGAGCAGGACTTTACAAAACAAGCTATGATCCTCAAAAACTGACGTACTCAATGAATGCAAAACAGCTCAGCGGTGGTGATCTCTTCAACACCAGCATGTCACACGTCGACGCAAGTCTTTACCCAACCGTCGTGTGGGATGAGAATGAGGCAGCTTTAAATGGCAGGTTAGTAGTTTCTTTTGTTTTGTTACTTCTTCAGTTTTAATTTGTTTCTTTAGATCTAGTATCCTGTTCAACCCTTCCCGCTTATAGTTGGATGTGTGTTTGTTAAACTAATGACAGAAAACACTGAGAATGCAGCTTTGTAAATATCAAATTGAGGCCCCTTATAAATTCTGCTGAGTGTGGGAGTGAGGAGTGTGGGAGTGGATAGGGGGTGGGGGGAGGGGGGGGATGTGGACTGTTTTGACATTTCCACAGCTGCATTCTTCAGTGTCTTCTATCATTACTTTATTAAACAAACGTTTTCTATCTCAGTGTATTTTGGGTTCTAAAAAATCCCAGGCCATGGGGGGTCAATCTCTTGTTCTAATCCTTGTTTCCCCTCCAACTTGGGGTCAACTCCAGTAGATGTCCTTCTCACTGTCAGTTATATCCTTATTTCTCCAAATGATGCGCTATCTTCTGTCATGATGTACTCAAGTTTCTCCATCTCACTGTCCCAATGTTTCAAGTTCTCCTTCTCACTGTCACGATGTACTCCAAGTTTCTCCTTCTCACTGTCATGATGTACTCCAAGTTTCTCCTTCTCACTGTCACAATGTAATCCAAGTTTCTCCTTCCCACTGTCATGATGTACTCCAAGTTTCTCCTTCCCACTGTCATGATGTACTCCAAGTTTCTCCTTCTCACTGTCATGATGTACTCCAAGTTTCTCCTTCTCACTGTCATGATGTACTCCAAGTTTCTCCTTCCCACTGTCACGATGTACTCCAAGTTTCTCCTTCCACTGTCATGATGTACTCCAAAGTCTTCTCCTTTCTCACTGTCTCTTGTACCTTTTCTCACTGTCATGATGTACTCCTAAGTTTCTCCTTCTCACTGTTCCACTGTACTCCAAGTTTTCTCACTCCAAGTTTCTCCTTCCCACTGTCACAATGTAATCTAAGTTTCTCCTTCCCACTGTCACAGTGTATTTCAAGTTTCTCCTTCCCACTGTCACGGTGTAATCCAAGTTTCTCCTTCCCACTGTCACGATGTACTCTAAGTTTCTCCTTCCCACTGTCACGGTGTATTTCAAGTTTCTCCTTCCCACTGTCATGGTGTAATCTAAGTTTCTCCTTCCCATTGTCATGATGTAATCTAAGTTTCTCCTTCCCATTGTCACGGTGTATTTCAAGTTTCTCCTTCCCATTGTCATGATGTAATCTAAGTTTCTCCTTCCCATTGTCACGGTGTATTTCAAGTTTCTCCTTCCCATTGTCATGATGTAATCTAAGTTTCTCCTTCCCATTGTCACGGTGTATTTCAAGTTTCTCCTTCCCATTGTCACGGTGTATTTCAAGTTTCTCCTTCCCATTGTCATGATGTAATCTAAGTTTCTCCTTCCCATTGTCACGGTGTATTTCAAGTTTCTCCTTCCCATTGTCATGATGTAATCTAAGTTTCTGCTTCCCATTGTCACGGTGTATTTCAAGTTTCTCCTTCCCATTGTCATGATGTAATCTAAGTTTCTCCTTCCCACTGTCATGGTGTAATCTAAGTTTCTCCTTCCCATTGTCATGATGTAATCTAAGTTTCTCCTTCCCATTGTCATGATGTAATCTAAGTTTCTCCTTCCCACTGTCATGATGTAATCTAAGTGTCTCCTTCCCACTGTCATGGTGTAATCTAAGTTTCTCCTTCCCACTGTCATGGTGTAATCTAAGTTTCTCCTTCCCATTGTCATGATGTAATCTAAGTTTCTCCTTCCCATTGTCACGGTGTATTTCAAGTTTCTCCTTCCCACTGTCATGATATACTATAAGTTTCTCCTTCCCACTGTCACAATGTAATCTAACTTTTTCCTTCCCATTGTCATGATGTAATCTAAGTTTCTCCTTTCCACTGTCACGGTGTAATCTAAGTTTCTTCTTCCCATTGTCATGATGTAATCTAAGTTTCTCCTTCCCATTGTCACAGTGTATTTCAAGTTTCTCCTTCCCACTGTCATGATATACTATAAGTTTCTCCCTCCCACTGTCACAATGTAATCTAAGTTTCTCCTTCCCACTGTCACGGTGTATTTCAAGTTTCTCCTTCCCACTGTCATGATGTAATCTAAGTTTCTCTTTCCCATTGTCATCATGTAATCTAAGTTTCTCCTTCCCACTGTCATGGTGTATTTCAAGTTTCTCCTTCCCACTGTCATGATATACTATAAGTTTCTCCTTCCCACTGTCATGATGTAATCTAAGTTTCTCCTTCTCACTGTCACAATGTACTATAAGTTTCTCCTTCCCACTGTCATGATGTACTCTGAGTTTCTCCTTCCCACTGTCATGATGTAATCTAAGTTTCTCCTTCCCACTGTCATGATGTAATCTAAGTTTCTCCATCCCACTGTCACGATGTAATCTAAGCTTCTCCTTCTCACTGTCATGATGTAATCTAAGTTTCTCCTTCCCACTGTCATGATGTAATCTTAAGTCTCTCCTTCCCACTGTCATGATGTAATCTTAAGTCTCTCCTTCTCACTGTCACGATGTAATCTAAGTTTCTCCTTTCCACTGTCATGATGTAATCTTAAGTCTCTCCTTCCCACTGTCATGTTGTAATCTAAGTTTCTCCTTCTCACTGTCATGGTGTACTCTAAGTTTCTCCTTCTCACTGTCATGGTGTACTCTAAGTTTCTCCATCCAACTGTCACAATGTACTCTGAGTTTCTCCTTCCCACTGTCACAGAGCACTCTAAGTTTCTCCTTCCCACTGTCATGATGTACTCTAAGTTTCTCCTTCCCACTGTCATGATGTACTCTAAGTTTCTCCTTTCCACTGTCATGATGTACTCTAAGTTTCTCCTTCCCACTGTCATGATGTACTCTAATTTTCTCCTTCTCATCTTCTTATTTGTAGTATTTACTAGCTGTAAACTCTGACGGAAAGTTCTGGTTGTTCATCCACTTCTGGGTTGTTTGTTGTTCCAGAACTTGAGCTTTTACGCAGACATCGTGTTACAGGTCTAGCTTACTTGTTCATCCACTTCTGAAGGACCTTGACCCCATCTACACTGTCATGCAGACTGTTGGTTCCTCGCCTCTCAGGCAGATACACTCTGACTGCAAAGGAGATCCCAATGATTAGTTGCTATATCCAAATATGCTTGTTACCGGCACAGTGGGTCTGTTCTTTATTCTTTTGTTTCTCTCACCAAAATGAGATCCCAGAACCCATAGAGGTTCAGTCTCTAATGATAATTACAATTGTTGTATCCTAGATGTAATTTTTCTTGTTTTAAAATAATAACTGCAAAGCTAGAGAAAGGATAAATGTGTTTATATTTACTTCCTCAGCCGGACAGTTGTGTTCAAGAACAGCAGCCTCAGTGGTGACCGCCCCAGCTCCAGCGACATACTCAACCCCTACAGAAAGATGGTGGCAATCCAGCGGCATTTTCTCCAGCCTACGGTTGAGACAGCAAGGCCACTGGTTCAGGTAGAGATTAGAGCTATTTACTATGTGCATTCTGACCCATAGAAAGATACCACTGCCAACCAAAGTCAATCTCATAAGAATGGTTTTTTTTGGCAAACATTGTGCTACCAGTGCCAAACATGAACCCTTACTACAACTAATGAGCGGAAGATCATAACAACAGAGATGAGATGTCTGAGGAGAGCTGCTAGTGTGAGAAGAAGAGATAAAATCAGGAGTAAATAAATTAGAAGAAGACTAGGATTGAATCCAGTCCTACAATTCATTAAAGAACAACAAATGAAATGGTTTGGTCACCTGACGTGAATGCCCTGGTACCAACTGGCACAGAGAGTTACGCTGAAGAAATATAATGAACACAAAGCAAGGGGAAGATCACATAAGAGATGGAGTGACATCATCAGAAGCAACTTAATAGAAATTAACACCAACTTGTTCAATACATTGGAAAAAGCACACAAACCATCATTAACCCCCACCCCACACATACCTTAGGTAAATGGTGGAAGAGAAAAAGAAGAAAATACTATTTGCATGTCTCACTTTAGGGTGAGACTTAATTCATCATTAACACTGACTTGTAGCATGCTCAACACAGACCTCATGTAGACATAATACACACACACTATGTAGACTTAATACAAACCTGTTGCATGCTGTAACACAAACTTCACTGAGACAAAGAAAACTTTTGTCTTCTTCTCTTTAAACTTGCACCTCAGAAAAATGTCGGGGGGGGGGGGGGGGGGAGATGTCGAGAACTTATAGGACTGATGTTAATTTCTGTAAGGCTGGTCTTTATGCCATCACTCAATCTTTACACAAACTTTACACAGACATAATGCAGACTTGCTGCATACCCAGACAATGCAAAGTTTACTGTAATGGATCTACAGTAGGATTTGCTTTCCATCTAGATGTACATTCTCTCAGACTGCTGTTTGTTCATCTCTTGTTGTTATCCCCCCATTTGTATCACTGTCTGACCGGACTTTCTGGTGCACATATATCGGAAATGGTGCAACAGTCTGCAAGGCATCTAGAACAAGGACAGCTGAACAGTAAAGACAGGTCAGAAAGACCTGCAAAACAGGCCTTTTATCTACAGCCACTGTGCCCTGCCCTCATTGTCCTAGACTTTTCCGGGCACGTATTGGACTTATAAGTCACCTCCGGACTTATAAACATTCAATTCAGGATGAATGTAAGAAAGTCGTTTTCATAACTTGCGATGGAGGAATAACAATATTATAGCCGTGCTGAAAAAATAGTGCTTAACAAAGCTGCCAGTTTTACGTATAATTGTGTACCGCCAAAAAACATAAAAAGCTCTAAATAGACTCAGTTTTGGAAACAGATTTTTTCTTCTGACATTCATATCTCAAGAAACTAAATCAAACTCTCCCCTTCTTCTTCTTCATGTTCACCAGCTGTAAACTCCAGCAGAATGTTCTGGATGTTCATCCATCTCTGGACTTTGGTCATGTTCCAGAACCCGAGTGTTGAATGCACATCTGTTTCACATTTTGGTTTGTTTGAAGTGAACATTTGATTCCTTGCCTCTCAGGCAGAAATGAGCAGGCAGATAGACTGGCCAGTTCTGCACTTGGTGATAAATTGATGTATGACAAGCTAGATGTCGTAAGCACCCTTTGGGAATGTTAACAGTGCGGAAGTGCAAATAGATCACTACGGTCTGAGGAAAATGGCGCTGTGAGGAGTTACGCGGGAATCTGGCCCATGCTCAACACTCAAGGGAAAGGCGAGATGGATATACAGTCAGATAGTTACTGTGCCATCGGAATTGGAACTGGTGGAATTTGCTGCTGAAGATGGGGATGGACCGCTTATGGGGGTGTCCTAAGTGCTATGATGTCGATTCTAAATTCAACATTCAGGCAGATGTACTCCAACTTTGAAGGATGCTGCAATTAGTTGACTCTTCTGGCATGCTTGATGGGGAGGCAATGGGTCTCTTCTGATTTTCCCCCCACAATTTGGTCCCAGAACGCACGCAGGGAAATAATACTGTCTAACTGCTTGTTTATGGTCCATGTCTGCATCTAGTAGAGGGCTGAGTGTATATCAAATGTAAAATGTCTCATTCTAACCTGTGGCTAATAATGTCACCTCGAACTGTTTTCCTACACTCCAGGAAGGAAGGTTTATTCAAAGAGATAATACTTATGGTGACAGTTACAACACCAAAATGTTCCTTCAGGAAAATAAACTACACAGAAATATTAGAATTGAGCCTAGGGATCTGATGTCTCATGAGAACCAGAATTTAGAGAGGTATGTGGTTACTTTTCTTCTTTTCTTTTTTAAAACTTTTTATAGATTAATTTTTTTAAATCGTTTTTGTTTGTTTTTGGTACTATTTATCTGTCTGACCATGTAGGTCACGGTAGTGACCAAAGCAATAACATGACTGAAGATGCAGACCTTTACCAAAGCATGTTTTCTTCTGTGGCTCAGAAAGATAGAGATAAGCTGGATCCATTGTCACTGATTGGAGTCTTTGAGTGTTTGGAGCTGACACATATCAGTTTCATATTTGTGCCAGCGCACACAGGCATGCAAGGAAATGAGCAAGCTGATAGGCTTGCAGGTAAGGCTACTGTTGAGAGCAGACAAGCCATGGACCGTGCAGATGTACTCAATGCTCTACAACAAGTTAGAGGTTTACGAGAACCAAGTGATGACTGGGGATCTGCAACCATGACCAGACTGCAAGAACTGCATGATTGGGTGTGGTCAAACAAGAGCACTATGCAGAAAGCCAAAGAAGTGTAATAAATCAACACAGTACTGGTGATGTTAGCATGCTGCAGAATTTACTGAGGAGGGGACGCAAGCACTTACGGACTAAATGGTTTGTGCTGTGACTATAATCTGTCAACTAACTAAATAGTGTATATTATCAGTGGAGCCAGTGGGTGATGGATTTTTAGGAGCAATTGAGTGATAAGTCTTAAGGAGTGGGAGCCAGTGAATGATGTGTCAAAAGGAGTGAGTAAATGATTAGTCTATAGGAGAGATGTGCAACCTTTTTTTTTTTCATTTGCAGGCCAAATTTTGAATTACAAATCTGATCATAGAAAACAAATCTGGTTTAAATATAACACTTAAATTTCCTTGTAATCTGAAATTTGTGTGGGATAATCTAGGATTATAATCCCTCACTACATCTTTGGCCAGACGTACTCACCCACTGAATCTCTTCTATATATTCTTAGATGTGTCTGTTCAAGATGGTTATTAGCAGAAATCATATTATTTAAAGAAGGGGAAGGCGGACCAGATTATAAAGTAATTTTACACCAGCCTCAAGGGCCAGTAAAAATATACTGGGCGGGCCATTTTTTATCCCTTTGTTTAGTTTGCTCCCTCTGATCTATAGGAACCAGTAAAAGTAGTTCTGAGAAGCTAATCTGAGATGGTGGGTCTTTAAGATCCTTTAGTTGTTGAACTGGGAGAAGCCATTTGGGGGATGTGACTGAAGAAACTAGCAGGTGATTGGTCTACAAAATCAAGTAGGTGGTGGATCCATCTGAAGATAAATGTAGTGATAATAAAAATTTTATATTTAACAGAACTAGAGAAACAGCATTTCCTGTTGAACCTCCAAGTACACCTGGCATGCTGAAGTCTGTCCACCATTTTGATGATGTCACTATTAGAAATATACATGAGAACATGCCAGTTAGGATTGAAGAATCCCATATAAAAGAACTGAGTGTGGCAGAAAGGGAGGAGTTGGCCAAAGCATTTGGTCATGAGAAGGTTTGTTGAAAAATTGTGACCATTAATTATAATCTCGTTATTAATGTGTTACTATCCAAAATAACAACCTAAAACTATCTTGTAGGTGGCTAATTGGTTTGGAAGGTTATTTGGTTGATTGGGGCTGGTTAGTTGAATGGTTGGTTGATTGACTGATTGGTTGATTTGGGCTGGTTAGTTGAATGGTTGGTTGATTGACTGACTGGTTGGCTATTTCATTGGTTGGTTGACTGGCTGGTTGGTTGATTGGGGTTAGTTAGTTGAATGGTTGTTTGATTGACTGGTTGGTTGATTTGGGGCTGGATAGTTGAATAGTTGGTTAATTGATCGATTGATTGGTTTATTGATTTATTTGTTGTTTAACTAATTGGTAGATTGACTGATTGATTAGTTGATTAGGGCTGGTTAGTTAAATGGTTGGTTGATTTACTGATTGTTTGATTGACTGATTGGTTGGTTGATTGATTAGTTGATTGATTGACTGAATGGTTGATTGATTGGTTTGCTGATTGATTGGTTGATTGACTGATGGGTAGTTGGTCTGGTTAGTTGAATGGTTGGTTGATTGACTGATTGGTTTATTGGGGCTGGTTAGTTTAATGGTTGATTGATTGATTAATTGGTTGCTTGACTGATTGGTTGATTTTGATTGGTTGATTAGGGCTGGTTTGTTGAATTTCCGGTTGATTGACTGATTGGTTGATTCATTGATTGGTTGATTAGGGCTGGTTAGTTTAATGGTTGATTGATTGATTAATTGGTTGATTGGTTGATTAATTGATTGGTTGATTGGGGCTGGTTTGTTGAATTGCCGGTTGATTGACTGATTGGTTGTTTGATTGGTTGGTTGATTGACTGATTAGTTGATTGATTGAACTGTTTAATTCATTGATTGATTAGTTGATGGATTTGTAAGTTTATCAACAGGAAGAATTGCTGGTTGAGGGGTTAAAATCCTGTGCTGTTTTTAAGGAAACCCTCGTTTGAAACCTTGGTAATGTGTTGGACATTGTCTTCTGTCTGTGAGCAAAATCATGTTAAATCCCAACTTGCACAGTTCATGGTGACTTCACTAGCCATGTATCTCAAGCTGAAGAGTTCCTGGTCTGCTCCAACCTTGATGTGGTCAGTACATACAGTTGTATCAGCAGACTCCAGCAAATGTCCAGAGAGCTACAGAAGCAAAGCATGATAACTTTAATCTACATCCTTACTTTGCACATTTATTTCCACATTTAAAGATGATAGCTGGGCTTTTGCCTCGACTACAAGTAGTCTGACTATGGAGGTGATGGCGGTAACAAAAGAAATCATGTTGCTAGAGACACAGAATTTTTCCTGTGCCTGATTTGTAAGTAATTCCATGAGCATTCTTAAGAACATCGAGACAGGATGAATTCAGAAAAAAAAAGGTTAGAGTCACTGAGAAAATCTTGTTTGACAGGAATAAGTCTAATTTTTGTGCCAGGGCACTAGTGTAAGAGGGAATGAACAAGAGGATTGGCTTGCTGGCAGAGCCACGTTATGTACAGGAAAAGCAATGGACCGGGCCAATTTTTCTGAATGCTTTCAATGATGCAGGATGTGTAGATGATTCAGAAGGTAACGATGAGTTGGCAACATTCAAAAGATTATAAGAAGTTCAGGTGACAAGCGGTGTCGCCAAACCTGAACGCTGCACAGGTAGCCAAAGAAGAATAGTAAACCTACCTGTGTGGGTTTAGGGACCCTATTGAGGAGGATAATAAAAATAAACCATCTGCCTCCTCAAAAAGCATGTCGTCAATTGGGGGCTTTCTTCGAAGTCGGTGCGCATCTGCCTAAGAGGCCAGGAACCAATAGTCTGCAATAAGTCAGGTCTGTAAAATGGATGTGCAGCAACACTCAGGTTCTGGAAGAGGTCTAAAGTCCTGAGGTGGATGAGCAACCAGAACTTTCCGCGGGAGTTTACAGCCAGTAAGTCTGAAGAAGAAGAAGAATAGTGAACCAGCACAGCATTGATGTCATCAGTCTGCACATACTGAGAGAAATGCTGAAGATGGGATCCGAGCACTGCTGAGGATAATCTGTCCATTAGGTAACTAACTAACTAATTCACTTGAATCTAAGTTGGCAGGTTGGTTGTGAATCCTCTGTTATAATTTTGTAATAAAACTTCCAACAGGTGACATCTCTCAGCTACATGCATACTCACCCTGACAGACCCCATTCTGCTGGCGTCATCATTGGAGACACCAGAAACCTGGCTGAGAACCTACAGCCCCCGACAGCCGTCCCAACAGTTGTTCTCAGAAACACGGAGCGTGTGACTAAACCACAGTTTGTCAGCTTTGCTCGAGAACCACAACTCAGACCAGCTCCGATGTCTGAAACTACAGAGCAGTTTAGAAAACTGACTACCAGCTTTATGCCAGTTGGTATGTTGTATATCATTTTTTTTTTTTAAATTATAATTACACCCCTTGCTATAAAAAAAAAACGAATGACTTTTCATCTAATTCTCTAACTTTGTTTTTGCTTTTGGCATCAAATAAAAAAAAATATTTGAAAGTAAAATATAAAAAAAGGCATTTAGCTGCCATAGCTTTGAAATAACCTTCACTCATGCTTTAGCCAAATTCAATACTTCAGTGATTTAAAAAGCGCACTGATGAAAGGTTTGGGTCTCAGAGAAAGGGCAGAAGTCAATAATGAACTTTTTCCTTCAGAATTGTCTAAGAGTGCTATGATTTTAAATGTTTCCAACATATTTCACTCTCTCTCTCTCTCTCCTCTCTGGTCAACTCTCTCTATTTCCCTTTTTCATTTTCGGCATCCTGTGAGTGTGTGTTTAGTTTTTTTTAAATAATTTTCTTATCTGGTCAACAGGTTTTTTCATTTTCCCCTAGAAACACTTTAGTCCTGATAATTTTTTGCGTGCCTTCCTTCATCTCTAAGCCTTTATTTAAATTTTTTATTTATCATTGATTGTTCAAGTTTCTGCACAATGTAGTAGTGTTGAATATATTTTGTGTCATTTTTTCTATTTATCATAATCTCTCTACAATGATGGAGGATGCAGTTTTCAGAAAAAGAGGCACAGGCCGGCCTTCGTGAAGTTGGACACAGGACACTGAAGATACACTGGCTATGAAAGCACACAGGGCTGGAGAATTGGCTAGAGACAGAAAGACTTTCAGGCGCGCCATGACGAGAGAGATGTTCTTTAACTCTTTGAGTCCTAGGGAACGCATCACACGCTAATTTGTTACAACCGCCTGGCCCAATCAACACGTGACAAGTGAAGGTTTTTAATTTATTGCTGACCGGTCATAAAACGCGCACCGCTCAATGTCAACTTCCTTTCAAATTCTTTGTGTCTGGTATCAGGTGTGCTCATTTAAAAACATGGTGTGAGAGCCGAAAATATAGCATATTTGCGAGATTTACCGTGTTACTAAGCGTTTGTTTGAACAGAATATGACCGCCAAGCAGTATTCTACAGGCATGCCAACATGATTTACGGCTTGAGAAGCCTCAAAATTAAATTAAATTTTGTGTTTATTTGATTTAGCAGAAGTTAGATAGATAACGTTGCAAATTAGACGTGTTTCAGTCATTTATAGAGTCAAACGTTGATGAGGGATATGTCTAATGTGTACCTCACGCAAAGGTACAACGATAGCTAAGTCATGCTGCTGGAAAAGAAATAAACATTAGTATTTTTTTACCAATTTAATTCACTGTCAGTTCTAGTGCTATTCCCCTTTTTTATTTAGGGAACATAGCTACAAAATTACAGGCAAATTGAGCGTTATATAAACTTCGTTTTTTCGTTTTTGTGCAACTTATTGTTTTAGTCAGTTTTTATTTACCAAAACATGTTTCTGTTATGATTCGGAAGATTCTTTGGAACAAAATTTGAACATTAGTTTTATTCTAATTTGGCTACATTACTAAATGTTATTGTCTGTGTTATTTACCTAAATGAATAGAGCTCTCTCTCTTGAGAAGTTAGATAAACCTTCATGTTTTACCTCCTTTTAAGAAATTAGATACTCTTTTATTTTGTAGCTCCCTCTTAGAAGTTAGATAGTCTATAATTTTGTAACCCCTCAAAAGTTAGATAGTGCATAATTTTACAGCTCCTTAGAAACTAAATAGTCCATAATTTCTCAGCAGCCTAAGTTGGGTAGTCTGTAATTTCTGAGCTCCTTAGAAGTTAGATAACCCATCATTTCTTTGCTCCCATCACAAGTTAGATAACCCATCATTTTTTTGCTCCCATTACAAGTTAGATAACCCATCATTTCTTTGCTCCCATCACAAGTTAGATAACCCATCATTTTTTTTGCTCCCATCACAAGTTAGATAACCCATCATTTCTTTGCTCCCATCACAAGTTAGATAACCCATCATTTCTTTGCTCCCATCACAAGTTAGATAACCCATCATTTCTTTGCTCCCATCACAAGTTAGATAACCCATCATTTCTTTGCTCCCATCACAAGTTAGATAACCCATCATTTCTTTGCTTCCATCACAAGTTAGATAACCCATCATTTCTTTGCTCCCATCACAAGTTAGATAACCCATCATTTCTTTGCTCCCATCACAAGTTAGATAACCCATCATTTCTTTGGTTCCCATAACAAGTTAGATAACCACAATTACTCACTTCCCTCAAAGAAGCAAGACATAGCTACCGTAGCCTTTGATATTCTTCAGAAGCTTGTGTCAATCTCCCCTGCTTGCTTCTAAGGAGTTTGATGTGTGTTTTGTATAGTACATGTTTCATGGTTTAGTAGACTTGCAAACGTTTATAGATCTTTATTTTTATAGTAGACTTTATCATTGCTTATTAAACCAGCATTTGCTTACTAGATCCTCCTTGCTTATCAAACCCTTCTTGTTCAGCAGACTTAATGCTTATTAGGCCTTCATTGTTTAGTAGACTTTCATTGTTTTATAAACCCTCATTGCTATAGCAGGCTGTCATTGTTTATTAAACCTACATTGTTTACTAGATTCTCTTTGCTTATTAAACTCTTATTGTTAAGCAGACCCTTATTGCTTACTAAACCTTCATTGTTTACTGGACTTTGATTGTTTTAGATGCCCTCGGTAATATTAGACTGTCATTGCTTTACAAACCTGAATTGTTTAGTAGACCCTCATTGCTTATTAAACCTCATTTTAGTAAACCTTCTATGTTTATTAATACCTTATTGTTGATTCAATCTTCACTATTTCAGTATTTCACTAGACCATCAATATTAATTAGACCTCCAGTATGTGTTTCCCTTATTGCTTAAACCTTGAGTTTTTATTAAACTTTAATTGTAACCTTCTTTGTTAAATCATCATCATTTTGCATCATTCCTCTATTGCAGAGTTTTGATCTGCTGGTAAACACATTGTTGGGAAGATGTGTGGTGGTTTCTCCTTGTCTTCCCCACCTGCATTAGTGGATGGATAAGAGTGTTTTTCCCACTCTCAGGATAGTCAGTGTCCACCATGTTCAAGGCTCAAGTACAGTTTTCCACTTATTTTGGTGGATACTCTGTCCTTTGAACTTTGCCCCACTTTTGTATCCATCAGGAGATGCAGTTGTGAGTTGCCCTCCATCTGCTGAGACCATGGTGATGTTTCACATTCGCTCTGTAACTTTAATCTACTTTATTATTATTATGTTGTGATCTGTTCATAAACTCCAGGTCCACAAGAGGTTCCATAACCAGTTTCCGGAGTCCAATCCTGACATCCGAGCCAACTTTACTACTGGCAAGAAACACATATTTTTTAACACACATTCTCAAGTCATTCGTGGTTGAGAATTTCTTTATTCAGTTTTGTTTCTGCCTGTTTGTGGATTTTGCTTGTTTTTCTTTCACGTGTTTAGTTTCTGTTTATACCAGCTTTTAGTTTTTGTAGTTCATTTGAGTGAATAGTTACTTGTGGACTGTTCTTCTATATGGATGGACAATGAGTAATGAAAATATAGAGAAACTTGAAGAAGTGGAGAAGATTTTGTTTAGAAGATTATTGTTAACAGAAATAAATTAGTGTTCACAGCTAAAAAATTTACAAGTCCGTGCATCAAAACCAATTTTAAAAAAAAAAAAAAATTATGGACCACATAAATCAACAAAAGAGATGGATTCGAGAAATTAGTTTCATAGGAAGAACAGACTAAACAAGAAAGCAAAGGAAGATGGAGGAAGTTGAATGTGGTAAGCTCAGACAGCTGGTGAACAAATGCTACCTGTGTTTCTTCTTCATGTTCACCGGCTGTATCAACAGGGTCAGTTTCATGAACATATCATTGGACAGTATGTACCAACAGTGTCAGTTTCATGAACATATCATTAGACAGTATGTACCAGCAGTGTCAGTTTCATAAACATATCAGTGGACAGTACGTACCAGCAGTGTCAGTTTCATAAACATATCAGTGGACAGTACGTACCAGCAGTGTCAGTTTCATAAACATATCAGTGGACAGTACGTACAACAGTGTCAGTTTCATGAACATATCAATGGACAGAGAGATATGAAGAGTCATGATCATCGATGCCTGCTTCAGTCTGACTGAAGAAGACAGTGTTTTATAATATGTTTTTTTTTTTCAAATGGTGTCACTTCCTGTTTTTTTTTCTGTAATCCCAGTGCAATACATTTTATACAAGCTCTTGTGCAAATTTTAAAACAACAACAATGCTAATATGTATCAGATTTTACTAATGGTGGAGAACTGCCATGGTGTAGCGGCCAGATACCAGTCTACGGATCCAAAGGTTGTGAGTTCAGGTTCTGATAAAGCCGGACTTGTTTCAAAAATTATCCTGGCTCCCAGTCGACCCAGACTTAGATGGGTACCAGGTAAAGTCCTGGAAAGAAAAGGCAACCCATGTGATGCTGACATCACACAATGAGTGTTGATTGGTCTATAAAAATTAGGGCCGAATACGAATAGCGGGGCCAACTATTCTGCCGTATACGAATAGTGTATCATCATCATCAGGTACCTTGCCGACTGGCGTGGGCGATTATGCCTCGCCACAATCTGAGATCTCCTGCAGCATGTTTTAGTTCGTGTTCTGGCACACTTCCATGCCAAGCAACAAGACTGTCAAGAACCTTCTCTCGTTGTCTTCCTCTAATCCTCCTTCCACAGATCTTTCCAGTGGTCACCACATGTTCCATTTTTCCTCTTCTCATAACATGGCTGAAAAAAGATGACTGTCTTCTTCTGATGTCTGTGATTAGTTGTCTTCGGGCTCCCGCCTCTTTCAAAACCTCTTGGTTGCTTTTTTTTTGGCTGTCTAATGTATTTTAAGCATTGTTTTCTGTAAAACCACATCTCTGAGGCCTCAAGAAATTGTTTGGCCTGCCTACCGATTGTCCAGGACTCACAACGCAATGCCTTTAAATATAA